AAGAGGAAGAGGAGATGACGGATCCGGCGCCCTCGAAGGTGAAGGTGGTGGTACGCATTCGGCCCTTCGTGGCGAAGGAGGTCAACAAGCGTTGCGTGGTGGTGTCAGAGAAGTCGTCCATCGAATTGCGCCAAAGTGCGCACGCTCCCGCACTCAGCTATGGGTACATTCCCTTTCGATGGGTTCCCATCACAATTATGGATCTCACCAATCTCACGCTCGCCAAACACCTTGAAGCTTTGATGGAGCGTACGATTCCGATTCGCAGCAGGAAGATCTGTTCAAGAATGAAATTGAGCCCATGATTGGCTCCGTATTCAAGGGCATTCACACGACCATCTTCGCCTACGGCATCACCGGCGCAGGTACTTGTTACCCCTTTCCCACACTTTTCCTCTTCACCACTAACCAGCATCATCGAATCAAATCTGTTTTGTTTTGATCTCACTGTTGTTGCTCCCAGGCAAGACCTTCACGATGCAGGGCTCGGACGAGCAGCCGGGCCTGATCCCCCGTGTGGCGAGGAAGGTGGTGTCGCTGGCCGCCCAGCACACGGCCGCGTTGGCCTCCAAGGGGACGCACGCCAGCAAGTGTTCCGTCACCGTCTCCTACCTGGAGATCTACAACGAGAAGGTGTTCGACCTGCTGCGGCCCAAGACCAAGGACCTGCCCATTCGCGAGGACACCAACAAGAACATTATCATTCCCGACCTCGCCCAGGTATTCCTCGACCGCTTCATCATCATCATCACCTTCTGCCACCACTAAACTGTCTGTGTGTTTGTTGTCTGTTTGTTTATGTCTTTTTGCGTGGCTGCGCCCACCACAGTTGCCCGTGCGCACATACGAGGACTTTGCCAACACCTACGCCGAGGGCTGCAAGAACAGGACGGTGGCGCCTACGAGCCTCAACGCCCACTCGAGCCGCAGCCACGCCGTGCTCATCTTGACGGTACCTCAGCGGTCTCTACACTATTGTCTTTCTTGACTTACACTGTTCTTAACAATTGATTGTCCCCCCCCACAAACTCTCCACGCGGCATATCAGGTGAAGCACAGGGAAGGCAAGCGCAAGTACGTCGGCAAGCTGCACCTGATCGATTTGGCCGGCAGCGAGGACAATCGCCGGACGGACAACATCGGCATTCGGATGACCGAGAGCAGCAACATCAACAAGTCCCTGTTCGTACTGGGCAAGGTCGTCAACGCGCTCAATGACGGATCGGTACGTGATCCTCACCACCATCGCCACCAGCCAGCGTGTTTTTTCCCACCACGCAACTCCACTCACGTCGGAACGTGCGATTGGGGCTGTTGTGCGCGCACAGAGCCGGGTCCCGTACCGCGACAGCAAGCTCACGCGGCTGCTGCAGGACTCGCTCGGCGGCCGCAGCTATGGCGTGATGATCGCCAACATCTCGCCCTCGGTCAACCACTACCAGGACACCTTCAACACCCTCAACTTTGCCTCCAAGTCGCGCCAGATCATCAACAAGCCCGTCGTCAACACCGTCGACGGTATGCCATGCCGCCCCAATCAATATATTATTATTCTTGTATTTATTTTAATTTTAATTATTGCTGGTCGACCGATCACTATCTCGACTGGTGGTGCAGACGAGGCCTCGCGCAAGGCGCTGTTGGAGGAGTACTTGGAGCTGAAGAAGCGCATGCCCGGTGCGGCCGGCAAGGAGAACCGCAGCAACGGCAACAACGGTAACGGTAACAACAGGCGCGTTGGGGCCAAGGAGCGATCATCTGGCGGCGGTGGCGACGGGCAGAAGATCGACGTGGGCGACCTGGAGGCCTTCATCGCGCAGAAGACGAAGGAGGCGCTCGAGCAGCGGATCAAGGACATGTTTGGGGGCGAGGAGGTGCTCAAGTCGAAGATGGAGAACGAGAACTTCCGGATGCTCAAGGAGCTGGAGCGGCGCCTGGTCGAGACCAACAAGCGCCACCTGGAGCAGTGCTTCGATGATGACGACGAAGACGAATGCGGCAACAACGTCGACCCGGCAGCCTCGAACGGCAACGGAGATTCCAAGGTGCGCACAAAAAACAACATTTTTTAGTGTACAACACCTCGGCCTAACGACACACATGCAACACGCACCACCGCACACATGCGCACAGGCTCTGCTTTTGACGCCGTTCACGAAAGTGACGACGGGCGTGGACATGGCCCGCCGGGCGAGGAAGTACGCGAAGAAGGGCCAGTACGATCGGGCTATCCGCTACTACAACCGACGTGCGTGCCCGCCATTCTTTTTTGATTTCAATAATTATAATCATTTATGATCATAATTATCAACTTTATACTTATTTATCTATTTGGCATCGTGCGTAGTGATGAAGGTGATGCCGGAGAAGGAGCCGTCGATCAGAAAGAAGATCGCCAAGCTGGAGGAGCGTAAACGGACCGAGGCCGCAACACCCGCGGACGTCAACGCTCTCAAGGGTACACACCGCACACGCACACGTGCCACCGTACATGTGTGGTGCGTGTGTATATATATTATCTATAAACACATGCATGCACACCACTCACTCTACACTGCGTTGTTATTTATTTCTCTCTTATCTTTAGAGAGGAGAGCCAAGAAGGATGCCTCCACGCCATTCCAGCCGTCGAGCTTGTCGTCGCTCATGCAGTCGTTGACGCTGTCAGACGACGGCAAGAGCAAGAACAAGACACTACTGACCGGACCCAAGAAGCTGTCCTTTGACAACTGCGACGATCACAACAACGCCAGCGGGACCAAGCAGCCTGCCACCCGAAAGGTTCGTTCTCCTCAGCTTTCAAAACGAGAGAAAGAGAAAAAAAAACCGCACACGCCCCACGCAACACGACCGCACACGCACACGCACACGCACACGCACACATATGGTAGTTCGTCTTGCTTAGATGGTGCGCGTGCGGTGTACAGGCGAGCGCGAGCGCGGAGCGAGTGGGAGTGGAACAGAGGAGGCGCCAGCAGACGCCGGCGGCCAAGACGAGCAGCAGGCCCGCATCGGCGCAGAGTCTGAGCTCGAGCAAGGGCGCGACCAGGATCACCACCGCCACTACGAAGAGGGAGCCATCGAAGGCATCCGCAGAGACGGCCACGGCTGTGGCGCGCGAGAAGGTCCGCCTCAGGCCGTCACCCGCCTCAGCTAAGGCCGAGGTCACCGAGAGGAAGGCGGAGAAGGAGGTTCTGCGAGTCGATGAAGAGGAAGAAGTGGAAGAAGAAGAAGTGATGGAAAAGGTGGCCAGCGATCAGGAAAGCGTGGAAGAGGAGGAGGAGGAGGAGGAAGAAGAAGTGGTGAGCGAAGAGGAAGAGGAAGAGGAAGAGGAAGAGGATAAGAACAAGAAGAGCAAGATGAGCTCGCGACATCGTTTTAGCGAAAGCGAAGACGATGACGGAGACGACAGCGAGGACGATGGCGACTACCTGGACATCAAGGTTTCCTCCCGGCAGAGCGCACAGAGGATCAAGAAGGCCGACACCGACAGTGAAGAGGACAATGACCGCGAAGACCACGGAATCGCCACCAACACCCGCCAGGGCGCCGACGAGCGTGAAGAGGTACCTCGCTTTCGCCTTCGCTTTTCGCTTTTCGCTTTTACCACTCAACGCTCACCCATGTGTTGGTGTGCGCTCACCCATGTGTTGGTGTGTGTTGTGCAGGATGTGTTGCACGTGGTGAACACGGGCTCGATGAAGGACCTGCTGGCGCTGCACGGCATCGGCAAGAAGCGGGCCGAGGCCATCATCGACAACCGACCATTCCGCCAGGTACGGACCTTACCTGTGTGCTGAATTGATTGGTCGTGCGTTGCAATGCGACCAACCAAACAACTTTCCGTTATGGTTGACGTACCTGAGTCGACTGAAAATCACAACATACAGCTGGTCGAGCTGAAGAAGATAGGACTGGGCGAGAAGCTCTTTGAGGCCTTCATGAAGCGGAACGTGTGGGAGGTCGTCTGATGAACACAACGTGGCGAGCCCCAACATGTCGGCGAATGTACACACCATTGCTTCACATCAACAATTGCAGTGCAACATCAGGAAGTAACAAACCTGGTGGCACAGCTTAGATAAAATAAACCAAGAAAATAAGAGGATAAAATTAAAATCATTTTATTTATCCTGCGTATGTGGGCGCACACGCACACGCACACGCACGATGCACCTTCTATCCACGCCTGCACACATCCACACCATACTCCTTCTTTGTGGCCAGGACTTCCAGGAGCACAACATTTCAATTCCTCGTCAGTTTGTGGTCAGAATTATGCAATAACAAGAGCTATCTCTGTCTGCAGTCCTGCAACAAAGCTGTGCCACCAGGAGAAGACACGCTGTTGCACAACGTCAACGCCTTCTGCTTCCAACCTTTCGATGGTTTCAGGCAGCTGGCTCCTGTTGTGAATGACAGCAGTGAGAGGAAAATAGGCTGTGTTGTGTCAGTTGTGTTTGCACTGTACCATGAGGTCACCATGGGAAGGGGATGGTCTCCCAGAGGTTCAAACTGGAAGTGACGAGGTATGATCGGAATGGCTCCGGCGAACATGGCTTCGTAGATACGGAAGCAATCGGGGTTGTAGAGGCCCGGAGGAGAAGGAGCAAACGCCGATGCCAGCAGCTCCTTCCGGAAGGCGGTCACCGGAAGACCTGTGGAACATTATATCAACCACACAAGTGCTGAGCACGACTCTCTCTCTCTCTCTCTTCCCTCCACTCCGCTCGCCATGGCTCACCTTTGTTGAAGTCGCCAGTCCAGGTGATCTGGCAGTTGAGCCGGCCTTGCGCCGCGAAGCTGTTGATGGCGTTGATGAACTCCCTTCGGTTCTCCCACTTGGCCCCGCGGAAGCTGCACCGGAACTTCCGATGGCTAGCCGGCAGGATCGCGTTCGATGCCGGGCGCCCGAAGCCTGCGAACACCATTGACTTCATTCATTCATTCATGCACGCACTCGCTTGGCGTGATGCATTTTTTTGTTACATACCTGACCCGTGGCCCAGTGGAAACCACCGAACCTTGTCGCCGTAAACCTTCAGCTTCGGGTGCCAGTGGTTGCGAAGCACGTAGTCCACCAGCGGGTACAGCAGCACGATCCGCGAGTCGCATCTGTGCTGCGATGTCAAATGGTCAGGTGTGCGTGTGGCAGTGTGTGCGGTAGTGTGTGTGCGGTGGTGCGTGTGCGTGAATGACCTTGTGTGGCTAATGGGAGCTTCAATGGAGTCTTCGGCAGAGCAGAGGTCCGCAAAACCGATGTGCTCGTCGCTCAGATGCACAAGCCCGATCCGTGCCTGCGCCATCAGCGCTTCATCAGCGCTCTTGTTTGGCTTCGCCCGCAGTGCATGAGCCTCCTCCAGGCACTGCGCCAGGCTCTCTGGCGCTCGGGCTAAACAACAACAACAAAACACACACGCACACGCACGCGCACGCAGGCACGCACGCACGCACACAGGCAAACTGATGGTGAGCGCGACGAACGTTGTAGATCCAAGCGCGGCTACTCGTGTGTACCGGCCCCAATGACGTAGAGGACGTGCTTAGGCACATGCGTTCCACGATAACGGACGTTGAGGTGGCACCCTTCCGGGTAGTGATAGATAACGGGCCTGTGCACCAACATGTGAGTCAGAGAATGGCACACCACACACGCGTGGTAAGAACACGTGACACACACACACACACATGACGTGGGCGCCACCTGTTGACTTTAGCGAGGATGGTGTCTTCAAGCCACTCATGCTCAAAACTGCTGTTGCTGGCGGGCGGGAACCATATGACGAACAGAGGGTCCTTCCAGTCGATGACTCGCACGGGGGCGGGCGTGGCGACAAGACTGCGGCAGGCCGCCAGTCTTGCGTGGGCGTCGAAGTCCGGGGCCGACGAGGACGAGTTCTCGAAACCCTGGAACCACGTCACATCTTCCGCCTCGCCCTGGTGGGGCAGACTGCAAACGACAGCCGCCACTGTCGCCAATACCACTAAAATCTTCAGCGCTGGCCGCCCCATGCAGTCTGTAGTTGTACTACGCGTAGTCTGAACAGAGAAGTGGGTGTGGGTGCTACACAAGAAAAGGCACAGAGAAAAAGACAAGAAACTGCGAGGAAATGAGAGTCTTTGGGTTTTGATCAAAGAAAAAGAAACAACTGGCCCGCCTAGACGCTGCGGTAGAACTCGCCGCCGCCGGCACCGGGCCGGATTTTGAGCCAGTAGTAGGCGATCATGCCGGGGATGACGACCAGCGCCAGCACGCCCACCAGCACCCACCCGATCGCCAGACCGGTCTTCAGTCCGCTGTTGTCCTCGGCTGCGCCCCACATCAACGATTTAGTTCGTGTGCGTGTGCGGTCGTGTGCGTGTGCGGTTGTGCGTGTGCGGTCGTGTGCGTGTGCGTGCAAAGTGGTGAGCGTACTCGGGGGCTTGGGGGCAGGCGAGGGGGAGGTGACGCAGGGGAGGTTCTCGTATTTGTTGTCGACGGTGATGGGCACTTGCGCCGGCGGCAGGGTGGCCGTGTTGGCCACACCGATGACGCCGATCAGCAGCCGCTTGCCCGCCGTTCCTATTAATCTTTTATGAGGATTATTGACTCACTACACGACACGACACACGACACACGACACACTACACATGCACGACACATGCACGCCACACGACACGAGTACCAGCTTGATCGCAGCCGGCGCCAGAGCCGTGATCGACGTCGGCGTGGACAACCACCTGAGGTGACCACGTGTCAGGGCGGAGGAGCAAAAACAAAAAACAAAAAAACAAAAAACAAAAAAAAACAAGAACGTACGGAGCGGCCGAGGAGGGAGTAGACGTTGGGGATGTTGGCGTCGGTGAAGTTGTACCACCCGAGCCCGGTATGGGCATCGAACGATTGGATGTTACCCTGCAACCCAATTGATTTCCAGGCGTGCAATTGGTTGGTCCATGCGTATAAATGGAAAGAGCAAGAGAGGGGGGCGAACCAGATCGCCGACGTGGCGGGGGTTGGTTCCGGGCAGCTCGTGGTTGCGGCCGTTCGGGTTCCAGTGCGCGCCAGCGCTGGTGCCGTCATTGAGCGAAAGATCTCCATACTGCAAAATAATTGGTTGTTGCAGTTAAAATCAGTGAATAACTAAATAACTAAATAAACAAAGATATATATTTCAGATACCTGGTGAATGTGGAACCCGTGCTTGGCGCCGGCCTTCAGACCGGCCACGCTGGCCACGACTTGCACGCCCTGCCCACGTGTTCGGAACCAGATCGGAGTTAAGAATGTGAGACTCGCAGCAGAGGCGAAGCGCCGGAGGGAGGGGCGAGGACTTGACCTGGGAAGTGGCCAAGATCCAGACGGTGCCGGAGCAGCTGGCGTCGCAGTTCGTGGTGGGCTGCAGCACGGCCACCGCGCTCGCGAGGCTCGGATTAGCGTCTATCCGCCACACGACACACGACACACACCACACACGACACACGACACACACGACACACACGACACAGATTGTGAGCGACCTAGTGATGCAGACGTGAGAAGCAGTGGATGGCGTATACTGAGCGAGGGGTTGTTATCGGAGTTGGCGATGCCGATCACGCACACGGCGAGTCGGTTGCTGTCGGGGATTGTTGGGTCGCTGCAGTTGTCGGGCTTGGCGTACAGCACCGCGGACAGGCCCACAATCGAGCTTTGTTCGCGCCATGTGTCGTGTCGTTGGTCGTGTCGTGTCGTGTCGTGTCGTGTCGTGTCGTGTCGTGTCGTGTCGTGTCGTGTCGTGTCGTTGGTCGTGTCGTGAGAATAAAAGTGGAAATGGCATACAGGAGAGCTGTGAGTACTATTGTTCGTCGACCAGCTCGACCAAGCTGACGTTCTGGGAGGCATCGATTACGCCGTCCTTCGCAGGCCAGTTGCCCTGTGAAAGAAACATTAGTAGTTGGTTCCGTCTCTTTTCGTGTGGCATTCACGATACTTCACCTCGCCAATAACCATTCTTCGTTCTTCGTTCTACTTCGTTCTTTGTTCTTCCATCTTCTTCTTCTACGGCTCGTGGTGTGAGGGTACCAGGTCGCCAGCACGGCGCTCCGGGCTGGGCGGACAGCCGTGGGAGCTGCTGCCAGCGCCAATGAAACGGGAACCGGCCGACTCGCCCGTCTTCATGTTCGTCATGTCGCCGAACTGCCAAAGCCGGGCGGTGCTTGAGAATCACCACACGCGCAGTCATCGCCGCACACGCACACGAACCACCGCGCGCACGCGCGCGCGCATACACACGAAACGCACGTCGTTGATGCTGATGGCATACTCGGCGGTGCCGAGGTTGCCGGTGATCTGCGCTCCTACGCGCACCTGAAGTCGATGGTGAGTCGCAGCGACAAGAAAAGGTGATGGGTGGTGATGTCCACGTACGTCGCCCAGGGTGGCGGCGTAGAAGGAGAGGTGGCCGCGAATGTTGAGCGCCTTGCCGTAGTCGGTCGTGGGGGTGAACACGCACTGCGCGCGGACTGCAGTAGTAGTTGGAGGCCCACAAACCCCAACATGAAAAAGAAGGAAGTAATGATGTGGTGAGAAAATGAGAAAGAGGCCAACTTGATTTGTAAATTCATTCATCATCGTACGAAAATCACTTTACGTACATGGCTGAGCATTCGAGAAAGTCAAGAGCGCGAGGAGCGCCACGCTAATCGTTAGCAGTGCAGCTGCTGAACTCATCTTTTGTGATCTGTGCGGTTCTGCCGATCGAATTAATATTATTTTTAATCTCGTCGACAAGGCTGCTGACGTCATAGAACTTTTTTTTATTGTTTTTCTTCGGTTGTGGATGGGACGAGAGAAGATGAAGAGCCACAGCAGGCGATTCACTGGCGGGCTGGCACTCCTGGGTGGCCTGCTGGTCTTGCTGCTGTGCGGCTCCTTCGCCGTGGCACAGGAGCCGCGCGTGGACGAGCAACCCACGCAGACCAAGAATGAGCTTGCCATCTACGTTCCCAATCCATTCCGCGAGAAAACCCCACTCAATCCTCTCGATCTCATCTTGTACTCCTCGGCCTCCATTTACAGTATTATTGCATTTTATTGTAAATCGATTCAAATGATTACTGCTTTTCGATTTGTGGCGCTACACGGAACCAAGTGGAGCAGAGGAGAAGCAACACACAAAGACGGCTGAAGATGGCACATGGCACGTCGATACCGACCTGCTGTGGGAGGTGAGCCTCAGCGGACCCTCGCGCTCCACGCCCAGCATCGTCGACCTCTACCGGTACACGCACACTCCCTACTCGCTCGCGCGCGCTCCCTCCCTCTCTCACTCACACACACACAACACGCGTTTGGGCACAAATGTGTAGCGATGGCACGAAGCAGGTGCTAGTGAGCGCCGGTGGCCGCGTGGAAAGCTTCGATGCACGCACTGGCCGCCGCCTACCCAGTTACGTGCCCCTCCCAACTCCACCCCTCCCGTGGTGTTCGCTCCCTGTATGGCCTGCTGCTCATCACGTCCTACAGCATTCAACCACGGCGGCACTGGTCCCGTTTTCATGGCCATGCACGACATTTCCGGCGGTACACACACACCCCACACCACGCAACACGAGCTGTGTCTGATAATGGTTGGTTGTCGACAGACGGTCGTGAGGAGGTGGTGACGGTGGGCGAGGACGGGAACATTCGGGTGTGGCACGAGAGCGGGTGGTCCCTCGCCTATCCGCCGTTCGAGATCCCGCACCTGCCCGTCCCGCGCGGCTGGTTCGACGGCCTCGAGTCCCGCAACGTGCTGCCCTCGCTCTCGCTCTACGTGCGCGACCCCGACCGGGCCGCGAAGAAGGTCCACCAGATCAGCCGCGACTTCGCCACGGGGCTGGGCATCGGCCTCGACCAGCCGCCCGGCGCGCCGCTCCCGCCCAACCCGCCGGTGCCCAACATCGGCTCGCCGCCCAGAACAACCTCGCCCGTACCGCAGAGCTCGCCCGGCGCGAGCGCCGTGGAGGCGGAGAAGGAGCCCGAAGACGCCGTATGGAAGGGATTCGAGGGCTGGCTACCTGCCGCTGGCATCAAGAGCCTCGACGTACGTCCGCGTGCGGTGTGTGTCGTGCGTGTGTGTGTGTGTGTGTGTGCGAACATCAGCTTAACGCTGGGTGTATATATCTTGCTTCAGCTGTTCCTTCCAGTGGACAAGGAGAACATGATGGGCGAGCAGCGACTCAATCGCGTCCGGCCGGCCAAGAAGTTCGCCATCCCCGAGCCCGACGACAACGTCGTAGTGCTCGACCCGCACGTCCTCGCCGAACCCGGTACGCCGCGCAACGCGACCCTTTACACTGATTTATGAGTAGTTGATAAATACTATGGGAGAAAGTGCTGACGTCATCTCCTGTATGTTCGCATGGTGGATGCAGTCGTACGCGATGTCGATGGTGACGGCCTCGACGACCTCGTGGTCGCCGTGTCCTATTACCTCTACGCGTAAGTTGTCCTCTTCCACCTGCGCACAAAAGAAAGCTGAGCCCGAAGGCAGACTAGTCTGACGTGACGGTGTGTGTGTGCGCGCGCGCGCGCGTGTGCGTGTGTGTGCGTGCGTGTGCGTGTGCGTGCGTTTGTGTGTGTGTGTGTGTGTGTGTGAACACGAACTACAGCGCGCGGGCCGAGGAGCAGGGCGCCGACGACAGCAAATACGCGTCCAGCGGAGTTGTGTGTTTCAACCTCCCCAATGGCACCCTCAAGTGGCACACCCCGCTCGACCTCTCTTTCGCCGACCGCGCCTACTCTCCCTACGTACGCTTTCTTCGTTCTTCTTCGTTCTTTTTCGTTCTTCTTCGTTCTTCTTCTTCTTCTTTAGCTCACACGGCGCAACCACCACCAGATCTACGAGTCGCCGAGCGTGGGCGACATCGAGGGCGACGGCAACGTCGAGATTCTGGTGGGCACCGGCCTGGGCGTGCTGTACCTGCTCGAGGGCAAGACGGGCAAGGTGAGGGACGACGATCAGTTCCCGATCTCCATGGACAGCATCCACGGCCGCGTGGCCATGCACGACGTGGACGGCAACGGCAAGCTCGACATCATCGCCAACGACATCAACGGCAACTTGGCCGTCTTCGACCACCAGGGCAAGGAGCTGTGGAGCGCCCAATTCACCCCATCATCTCATGTGGTACGCGATCTATTCATTATTCTTTATTCTTTATTCATTTTTCCTTTATTATTAATCCAATTCTTTTGTCTTTTTTTCATTTATCCATATCTGAATTCTCATTTATTTATTCCATTATTTTATTATGGATAATTCATCAGGGTCCGTCGGTGGGCGACATTGACGGTGATGGCCAAATCGATATCGTGCTGGCCACCGAGCTCGGACATGTGTGGGCCTGGTACGTCGCAGCCTTAAACGTGCAGAGCGAGGAGCAATATTCACTGATCCTGCGCCGACATGCACTGCGTGTGGAACAACAGGAACGCCAAGACGGGCAAGGTGTTGAAGAATTTCCCGATGCGGCTGGAGGCGGGCATCCACGACCGCCCGCTGTTGCTCCCGCGGACGAGGGACGCCGACGACGGCCTTTTGATCATCGTCACGGGCGACAACGGCATCCTCTACCTCATCCACCCGCTCACCCCGGCCATCGAGCGCATCGACATCGGCCACTACTCGTACCATCAGCCAACACACGTGTTCTCTCGCGCGACTCATTGCTGACTATGCGCGTTCGTCCGTTCGCGTGGCCACTTGTGAGCAGGCTGGGCATGGTGCTGGCCGACGACCTGCTGGGCAACGGTGAGGTCCACTTGGTGGTGGCCACCACCTCAGGCCGCCTGCTCGCCCTCACAACCTCGCTTCCGCTGCTGCCTCTCGCCGCGGTGTACGTGGCTATTATTTTTTTTTTTGTTTAATTAATTAATTAATTAATTGTTTTATTCTATATATTTGTTTCTCATTTTGGAATTTTATTTTTGCAGGCGAGGCAACGGGCAGGGCCGCATGGGTGGCGAGTACGGCATCTACGTGGAGGGCGAGAGGTATCGCCAGGTCACCGGTCGCACTTTCACCGTGCCCTTCCGCATCATCGACAACGCAGAGACGCCGCTCGCCCCTTACCATCTCACCGTACGCCTCGCCCCTCCAAACCGCTGCCACAATCATCAGCCTGGGCTGACGTCTGATTCCCTGTGTGTGTGTGCGGTGTGTGTTCGCTTAGTTCTACGTGGGCGGTAAGAAGGTGCTGGAGACGACCTACGCGGATCCGGGCGCTTACTCAGTCGCTCTGGACGTGCCAGCGTACGTAGTAATGCCCCCGCGGCGAAGTTGAGCTTGACTGATTCTGTTATCACAGCACGGTGAGCAACTCCATCGGAGTGGAACTGGTGGGCATGAACAAGGTGAGCGAGGAGTGGCACGACAGCTTCACTATCCAGTGCAACGCCAACTTCGCGCGAACACTCAAGGTACGAAAGCCCCTCCTTCCGGCTCAGCTCGACGTATGACAGTCGCTCACAATTGATTGGCACAATCACTTCCATCTTCCAGTGGTTTATTGTGGGACCCTTCCTGCTGAGCGCGGCGACGCTCTTCTACCAGTACGGTCTGCCCGGAGCGCCGGGCGTAGCCAAGACCAGATCGTCGCGGTCATGACCCTACCCCACGCCCTCTCTCCCTTTCTTCGTTCTTTCATTTCGCGGTGCCCCTCACACTTGTGAAGGTCAGTGGCTTGCGTTTGAAAAGCAAGGATCCAGAACGATGAAGAATGGGTGCATACGTAGCAACTCAACCACAGTGAGAGTTATGAACCAACGAAAAACGATTGGTTGGTCCCTTTGCGTTCTCGATTCCTTTCTGTGGCTTCGCAAAGCAACGCGACGAGCCACACAGCACGTGGCAAGCTGGTGGAGATCAAGATGCGGCGTTTTCATCTTCGTCTCCGGCACCCTCCGGGAAACATCAGAAGAATGACCTCCCCCTTTGCGACGCAGCCACCGACAACCTTACGCTTGTCGCCAACTCCTAAAGCCAGTCAACGTCCAAAATGTCGACAATTCCTTCGGGCCTCTGAAAAAATGCGGGCCGAAAAACGGAGGGAAGCGCCAGTGGCGCACAAGACGGACGAACACTCCGGGCCTTTGGGCCGGTGGCCAAAAGGGCGGAGCGGTGCGTCGTCAGTCCATCTGTCGCAGCTATCTCCCCAACATCAGAACACCAGCAGCAAGCCAGGAGCAAGAGCGAAGAGAGAAAGGTATCTCCTCGCCTTTGCAGTTCTCTGCAAAACTTCTCCTGGGTTGGCACTCTACTCCACAGTCACTGCTGCAAACTAGCACTCACTGGGGGATAAGAGAGAGCAACCACCCCGGCTCAAAGCATTATCCCATTCAAACACACAACACCCTTAGAGAAGGAGTAAGCCACAAGAAGGAGGAAGAGGAAGTAGAAGGAAGTAGAAGGAAGTAGAGCGGAGTGAGTGCACACTAAAAACTGTTAGCTCCTATCCACTACACGCACACAGAGTTTGAACCAGCCACTACACGCACCACAACCACACAACGATCGATCGAGCAAACGCATAGCAGATCGACACACAACAACACAACACATCAAGATGTTCTCGAAGGAAATGAGAGAGAAGCTCAACAACTACTATGACGAGATCTCTTCGGTAATCTTGTCAAGGCAGCACCCCGTCACTGGCCTCCTGCCCGCCTCGACCGCGTGCAACCAGCACGGCGACTACAACGACGCCTGGTACGTTGCCAGGCCATCACTTAATCTCCATCATCATCATCTTCTTCACGCCAGCTCCTAAATTCCGATTGTTTTGGCCATCATTTCTCTTTTGCTTTTTGAGTTTCTGTTTCTTTTCTGATATTCTTTTCTTTCTTCTTCTTTGTTTGGTACGTCCAGGGTGCGAGATAACGTGTACAGCATCCTGTCCATCTGGGGTCTGGCTCTGGCCTACCGCAAGATAGACGACGATGACGGTCGCACCTACGAGCTCGAGCAGGTTCCCTTTCTTAAACACCAATTATTGTTCCTACTACTACATGTAGTGGCAGTAGAAGTACTCACAACATGCTGGTGTTGGTGTGGCTATGACAGAGCGTGGTGAAGCTGATGCGCGGTCTGCTGTTCAGCATGATGCGACAAGCGCCCAAGGTGGAGGCCTTCAAGAAGTCGCACGCCCAGTGGGACTGCCTGCACGCCAAGTACAACACGGCCACCGGCGACACCGTCGTCGCCGACCACGCCTGGGGCCACCTGCAGCTCGATGCCACCTCCATCTTCCTGCTCATGCTCGCCCAGATGACCACCTCGGGTCTCCGCATCATCTTCACCAAGGACGAGGTCGCCTTCGTCCAGAACCTCGTCTTCTACATCGAACGCGCCTATCGCACTCCCGATTACGGTAACAATCTTGTGCGGTCGTGTCGTGTCGTGTCACGTGCGTGTGTGCTCACAATGAGACGACACATACACAGGTATCTGGGAGCGTGGTAACAAGATCAACAACGGCTACGTGGAGCTGAACACGTCGTCGGTGGGTATGGCCAAGGCCGCGCTGGAGTCGATCAACGGCGTCGACCTGTTCGGCTGCTACGGCTCGCACGCGTCGGTCATCCACGTGCTGGGCGACGAGATCGGTCGCAACCGCATCACCCTCGAGAACCTCCTGCCCCGCGAGTCGCTCTCCAAAGAGGTCGACGCCGCCCTGCTCAGCGTCATCTCCTTCCCCGCCTTCGCCGTCGAAGACAAGGTACGATTTTTTTTTGTTTTTTTTTTGATAAGCGACGCTCTGGCCCGGCAGCGACAAGGTGGTGGGCTGACCTTGGCCGGCGTGCCTGGGTTTGTATAGGAATTGGTGGAACGGACCAAGAACGAGGTGATCACCAAGCTCCAGGGCGAGTACGGTTGCAAGCGATTCCTGAGGGACGGCCACCAGACCGTCCTGGAAGACAAGACCAGGATCTGGTATGGTACGTCAATCATCTCTCACTTGCTGGCTTTTGACACAAAAGCACAACATTTCGCTTATCAACTATTTTTCGTTTTTCGTTCTTTTTCGTTCTTGTTGTTGACGTGCACAGAGCCGTGGGAGCTGAAGCGCTTCGAAAACATTGAGTCGGAGTGGCCCCTGTTCTACACCTATCTCTACCTGGACGGGCTCTTCACCGGCAACAAGGAGCAGACGGCCGAGTATCGCGAGCGGCTGGAGAAGGTATCCGTCGTGGTCAACGGCGTCCGGCTGCTGCCCGAACTCTACTATGTGCCGCTCGAGTACGTCGAGCGCGAGAAGAAGCAGCCGCACTCCATGCCGCGCCACCCCAACGAGAACGTGCCCCTCATCTGGGCGCAGAGCCTGTGGTACCTGGGCCGCATGATCGACGACGGCCTCCTGGCCGTGGGCGAGATCGACCCGCTGGGCCGCCACAAGCAGCACTACAACATGGAGCCCCGCGTCCAGGTGTGCCTGCTGGCCGAGGACGAGGAGCTGCAGGCCCAGCTCCTCAAGTACGGCATCTCCACCCAGGTGCCCGAACAGATCGAGCCCATCCAGCTCCGCCCCGCCCGCGACCTCCAGAACGCCTACAGTACGATTATTTTTTATTTTCTTATTATTCTTAATTTTAGTTTATTTTTCTTATTTACATACTAATATTTTTTCAATTTTTCTTATTTTTTTTACAGACAAACATTTGGGAGTGAATGAGAAGCTGGGGCTGTCGGGCCGTCCGGATCGCCCGATGGGTTCGCTGTCGACGAGCCGAGTGCTGAACATCAACAACAAGACGTGCGTGTTCATCCCGCAGTTCATGGACCAGCAGGACTTCTACATCAGCCACGACTTCCAACTGCTGGCCGACACCATCAAGTCGGAGATCACCTTCGTCAGCAAGCACTGGCGCCAGCCCGGCCGGCCCACCATGACCCTGCTGCTCGATCGCCACATGTTCAAGGACGGCAAGAAGGCCTTCCTGTCGCTCATGCGCGACCTCAAGGAGGACAAGCGCATCAAGCTCGGCCGCCTCCAGGAGCTGCTCGTCACCGCCACCACCGCGCGCATCGACTTCCTCCAGCGGTTCGAGTTCTCGACCCAGCCCATCGAGAAGAAGGTCACCACTATCCGCCACTACCTCCTGCCCATGGACGAGTATGTCAAGCAAGAAGGTACGCTCCAACACATCTATATGTGAGTATATAATCTCCATGTATTGTTGGTATGTTGGAATGCTGATCGATATGTGTCTACATACGCAGACGCTTGTGTCCTGGCCAAAAAGAAGCAGGAAAAGTTCCTCAAGCCCCAATCCCCGCGCACCAACAGCTTCAACATCGACGACGAGATCGCCATGTCTTCGTCGCCCCAGATTCCGCCCTTCCTGCTCGCCGCCATGGCCACCAAGGGTACTTTATTTACAACTATTATTATATTTCTTGTCTTATTATATTTGAATAATCATTAATTTAAAATATAATGCTAATAATTCAAATAGCAGAGAAGCAGCAGGCGGAGAGCAACGAGAGCGGAGAGGAGAGCTCGATCAAGCGGATGGAGGATGTGGAGGACCTGAAGTCCAGCGCGCAGATCCTGCAGCGCCTGCACCACGCCAAGGACCTCGAGGAGCAGGTCCTGCTGCTCCAGCGCCTGGCCTCGCTCGAGAGCCTCGACTACGCCACCGACTTTGTCCACCCCGACGGCCGCAAGGCCACCGTCCGCGAGCTCATCCACGAGGTCTACGACAAGGCCAGTACGTATTCCCGCACGACACGCACACAACCGCACACGCACCACCGCACACGCATATATAATGTGATCACTCAACGAATAATTCTCTCTACAGCCGATCTGAACAAGTGGTCGGTCGTGCGACGTGCGGCGTCGCTCCTGGAGCGCATCGTGTTCGGTCTCATGGGCTGCGTCACGGAGATCCTGGTCCAGGGCAAGGAGATCACCATCGGTAGGTCCGTCAGCGAGGAGACCGTCATCCGCGAGCCCCTCGCCCCCGGCGTACGCACCCCTCCCCTTTTTTTAATTACAATTCATTAAAACATCAATCAACTCTTAATGTTATTTTCCTTCAAATCATAAATAATGGCTCACACAATATGTTCAATTGCAATTGCAGGTTCTGATCGAGAAGATGAAGAAGTTCTGCAAGAGGGACATCCGGGACATCGCGCTGACGCAGGAGCTTCTGATCTACATCGGTTCGTTCATGCGCGCCCGTCCGTCGCTCTTTGACGGCTCGCTCCGGCTCCGAGTCGGCTTCATCATCGATGCCATGATGCACGAGCTCGAGCAGGAGCGTCTCTCGCTCGGCCACGAGTACGACCAGCACCTCTACGAGCACCTCATGGCCCTCTCGCCCATCCAGATGAAGAGTACCCCACTTCCTCTACATTCCATTCATAGTTGTGCCATTTTCTCACGACCTCTTTTCTTTTCTTTTCTCTGCTCTGTAGAGCTGCTCCATCAGGTGCTCCTGTACGAGGACTACGTCAACGAGTCGATCCACGAGGACGGCAAGTCGCTCTCCAACTCCCTCAACTTCTGCGCCGCTAGGTAATCATCATCACCATCGCCACCACCATCATCTCACTCTCACCTTCACCTTCACTCCACGTATACGCCACGTCACTTTCACCTCACATCACATTTTTCCACCACGTTTCTGTGCGCGCGTCTTCATCTTCATCGCCGTCACGCAGCTCACACAAGTCTGACGATCGCGATCGGCGACACTCAAACAACTCCAGGGACCTCAAGTCGGAGGTCAACTGGCTCCGGCGCAGGAAGCGGGCCGGGGCGCTCTACCGTGTGCCCCACGACTTCTACCAGCGCATGTGGAGCCTGCTGGCCAAGGTCAAGGGCCTCTCGATCCTGTCGGACACGATCGACAGCACCATCACGCTCGCCGAGATGACGCCCGGCGAGAAGAACTTTGCGCTGCGCGTCGAGCGGCTGCTGATGAACATCACCGTGCCCGAGGAGCGACAGATCATCATCGAGGCCCTCATGGCCCTCAGCGCCATCGTCAAGCAGAAGGCCGAGCAGGGCCAGGGTCTCGGCATAGACGTCATCGCTCTCGACAAGTACGTCTTTTCACAACACGCATGGCATAGCACGACACACGCCGCACACGCAACACGACACGACACACGCCACGACACACGCCACGACACACGCCACGACACACACGCCACACGCAAATTCTGACGTTGGCTCTCTGTGTTCACAGGCTCATTGATACGGCGGTGGAGACGGCCTGGGAGGACCGTTGCCTGACGTCGCCGCTGGTGTCGCCCGGGCGGAACAAGATCAACGCCAAGCCGCTCACCTTCATCTCCACCGACGAGCTGTTCGAGTGCGAGATGGACATGCCGATGGCCACCAAGGAGGAGAAGCGGTCGTTCTACTACGGCATCCCGCCCGACCGCCACGCCATCTACGTGCTCAAGGCCTTCTTCAAGCTCGCCTCCCACTAGGCTGTCTCCCTTGAAGGCCCCTTGCAGCCAGATTTTCCTACACTCCACCTGTTGTTCAACGTACACAATTCTCAATAATATATACTACTTATTTTTGATCGAAAGCTGATTTCGGAAATGGGTGGGCTAGGGTGTTTCTAGGATGTTCAAGGAGTATTGGTTCATTTGATTTTGGTTTGTGTGGTGGTAAGGGTTCCATGGTGCAATCGGTAGCACGTATGCTTTACACGCATAAGGTACTGGGATCGAAACCCAGTGGGACCAAGCTTTTTACTTTCTCACCAGACCTGATGAACAGACCACTCTGGGTTGTGGCAACTGGCCGATCACACCTACTCGGGGGGGGGGTTCAACCCATTCTCCCCGGAGCAAAAGATGAAGATTACCGCTGGAGGGAGTTGAACCCCCCGAGTAGGTCCTGACAGGCTTATGGCTCCTAACATGGCTATTCCCACATCAGTGGCCCTCAGTACTCCTTTGCAGGAGGAGGGTGTGATATTAGACAAAGGGATAGCAAGATACCTACTCCCCAACCCTTGGCAGTGGTTTGAGGTTCTTCGTACAGGTAAGCTGCGAACCAGCCCAGTTTGAAGGCGGCAAAAGCTCATCCCTCAGCCCATTATGGGATCACCAAACCATTCGCTGAACTAAAAACAATAGGTCAGAAAAAGTGCACCACAGCTTTTTGACACTACACATTTTAAAATGCACTGTATGACTTTTGTTTGCAAAGTGTAACAGTCATACAAGCAAGCTGATGGTCAGTGGTAGTTGATCATGGGGTCGGTCTCATCGGGCGACATGTGGCCGCCCAGGTGGGTGATCTCCTTCTTGATCATGCCCTTGATGATTCGGCCGCCCTCGCGCTTCTGCGCCGACACGTCGGCGATCGACCGCACGTCCGCCGAGAACAGGTGCGTGTCGACCACCTCCACGGTCGGGTCATCATGGAACTCTCGCCTGAAGAGTGTCATGCGTGTCGTTGGTCGTGTCGTTGGTCGTGTCGTGTGTGTTGTTAGATGGGCGTGTCTTGATGGCGGCCCGCGCGAAGAGGGTTACCTGTTGGTGAACCAGAAGGTGATGCCGGCCAACAGGCCGCCGACAAGCGGCCCGACCCAGTAGATCCACAAGTACTTCAGGTCCTCGGCCTCTCGCGTGTGGAGGGCGTTCACCTGCAACCATCAATAATATTAAAAACAAATTACTCATATTTCTAAAAAATAAAAGCAACAATAATCAAAATAATTATAAATCGTACCGTGAGGATGCCCGTGCCCACGGCCGGATTGAACACACCACCGGAAATGGCTGGAATGCAGAATATGAGAAAAAATACAGAGGAATGCAGTGGCTGGGCGCGACGTACGGCCGGCGGTGATGGCTCCGGCAACGACGGTCATGCCGATGGAGAGGCCGAAGAAGGAGTTGCCGGCCTGGGTCTCGGTGGTAGCCGTCTGCAGCACCACCGTGGCCAGGAGGAACGTCCACACCGCCTCCATAAACAGGGCACGCCCTTCTCCCTCTGGGCCTGTGATGATGTGAGCACACCGTCGCAACACGCGAGTGTCAGCCACCACACGCCACGCATCACCGCACACGCAACACGACGACGAAGCAGGCAACACGAACCTGGCATTACGGCGAAGGTGTTGTCCTTGATGAACCAGTAGAAGAGGCCGGCGACGAAGGCTGCGAGCACCTGCACGATGGCGTAGATGATGGCGTCCACGCCGCTGATCTTCCCTCTCCGGCTCAGCCACACAGCCAGTGTGACCGCTGCACGGAAAAAAAATGAAAAGATAATAAAAACATGAAAGTAAATTAAAACATAAAAAATTAAATTAATCACTGGCCCAGCCTCTTTAATTGTGGCGCAGTAGTGCGGTACCTGGGTTGTAGTGTGCGCCTGGAGGGAAAATAGGGTCAGAAACAGAATAATTAAAATTCAAAAATGAAATCTCTTCATCAATTGGGAATATAGGGAAGGGGGAACGCACCGGATATGTGGCCGCCGGCAAAGACGACCACGACGAGGGTGAAGCCGATGCCGAAGGGCGCCAGTGAGCCCTGGTCGGCGGGGTGGAGCGAGTTGAGGCCGATGGCCGTCACCAGGAAAAAGGTCCCTATGAACTCCACCACAAACGGGGCCAGCACGTTGAACACCTTCGTCGCACCATGCGGGAACTTGAACGGCATCTTAGGGAAGTGTGTGTGTGTGTGTTTGTGTGAGGCTTGTTGAGTGTCCTCCCTCCTCTTGCTCTCTTCTGCTACTTGTACCCAGGGCACTAGTGCGGATCTCGCCGCAAAACTGTTGCGCCTGCGGCCAATCAGCTGTGGCGGCGATTCAGGAGAGAAGGATAGGCCAACTACTTTTCCACCGTTTTTTGGTCCTCCCAGCTCTCATTATTTCAATGATTTTTATCAATCTTCTTTTACATATCATCATCATCATCCGACACCAACAACATCACATCATTATCACTATTACCATCCGTCCACCACGTCACCATCACCGTTTCGCAGAAGTGGACAAACCACTCAGTCGGTGTTGTTGAAGCGGTAGAACTTGGCGGCGGTGGCGTAGAGGAGGTCGTCGCGGGCCTTGGCGTCGAGGCCCCACTCCTCGTTCCAGGCCAGGTAGCGGTGGTACATGTCGGCGGTCGTCAGCGACAGCTTGTCCACCGGGAAGTTGGACGCGTACATGCAGCGCTCCGACGTGAACAGATCCAGCGTCTCCTGCAGTCCCCATTTGAGCGTGTGCGTGTGCCGTGTGCGGTGTGCCGTGTGCGGTGTGCGTGTGCGTGTGCGTGATCGAACCTTGACGAGAGACTTGAGCAGGAGCTCCTCGGCGGAGCCCTTCTTCTCCCAGCCGTCCTTGGAGAACCAGAGCTGCGAGAGCTTGACGTAGACGTGCGGCAGCCGGGCCAGCGCTTGCATGCCCTCGCGCCACGTGGCGATGAGCGCGTCGTGCTGTTCGGGCGTGCCCTCCTTCAACGGCAGGCAGCCCAGGTGGTTGAGGCACACCGGAATCTCCGGGAACTGCGCCACGAACGCCGCCGCATCCTTCAACTGGTGCGGATTCACCTGTGTGTGTGTGTGTGTTGTTTGTGTGTGTGTGTGTGTGTGTGTGTTGTGTGTGTGTGTGTGTGTCATGACGTGTGCGTTAGAACTTGTCTTGGTTGCGGCGGGTTAGGGCGTGGGTTACCTGAAGATCGAACGAGAGGCCGTACTTCTGAAGCAGCGAGTACCCGTGGCGGAACTTCTCGTCGGTGGTCAGGTAGTCGCCCGAGTGCACCTTGGGCCAGGTCAGGCCTGGGTTCTCCGGGTGGTGGTTGATGATCTGACGAATGCCCTTCACCTGTGCGTTGCGGCCACAACGCCGCACCACAGCACATCATCATTAGCGTTAGCTTCAGCTTCAACAACAGTAGTGTGTGGTGTGTGGTGTGTGTGGTGTGTGGTAGTACGAGAGGGAAGCGGGCGAGGGTGGCGAGCTGGGCGTCGATGTCGTGGTCGGGGAGGTAGGCGTAGGCGACCATGGCCTTGAGCCACTGGTGCCCGGGTGCCTGTTGATCGGCCAGGGACTGGACCCAGGCGGCCTCCTTGGCTGGCTCATCGCTTAGGGCCTCCACGAACACCGCCCCGGCGAAGCGCAGCGCTTGGGGTGCGGCGGCCTCTATGTCCCGCACATAGTGCTCCTCGACATACGTAGGAAAAGTCTTTCCAGGCGTTCCTGTGCGTTGTGTGCGCACGTGAGTGTCGTGTCGTGTTGTAGTGTTGTATAAAAGTAAGTGTGCGTGTGTGCGGTGAGAGTATTGGGGGGGGGGTACCAAGCCAGGTTG